ACGACCACCACATGACAACAACACGACCACCACACGACACGACACGACACGACACATTATTGCTACTTGCAGTAATTGTCAACATCCTGAGGGAAACTCCTTGAATGACTCAGCAGAAACAATACTCTATCATCATTGGTATGCAAGAGCTGTTACCGTGTTTCCTTTTTCCTTGTGATGCAAAGTGTACAGAATGTGTGTTTGTTTGTGGGTTGTGTATGATTCATTGTGTGTATATTTGTTTGTGACGTGTGTGTGTGTGTGTGTGTGTGTGTGTGTGTGTGTGTGAGTCTGTATATGTTTGTGTGTGTGTATATACAGTATACTATATTTTTTACGAAGTAGGTCATGATACGATATAGGTTAGGATAGGTTAGGTTAGGTTAGGTTAGGTTAGGTATCCTTAGAGTCTTTTAAGTTTTGATATCATAATGTTATCCTCACTACCTCACTTGTTATCTCCACTGTTGATATACACACGATCAAAAAAAGTATCTGAACACATAGGTCCGATAATTTCCTAAATCACTTCACCTATGACTGTAACCTAACCACCATCATGATCTTCACTACACATTGTTCACATAATAACAATACTTACTCTAGATAAAATAGGAAATGTTGATAGTAAGTGATTTATGGCATTTTACAATACCCATCGTCTGTGCTGTCAGATTGTTTGGTGGTCAGATACTTTTTTGATCTGTCATATATTTAGTTGAGTTTGTTCTGAAGTTGTTATTGTTATTTTTATTATTAGTAGTAGTAATTAATATTAGTAGTAGTAGTAGTATGAAAGGTCCTGGGGAATAACTGCGACCAGGAATACTGTATGGGCGTAGAGAGAGAGAGAGAGAGAGAGAGAGAGAGAGAGAGAGAGAGAGAGAGAGAGAGAGAGAGAGAGAGCATGAATAAGAAGGATCCCTCAATTCCGACAGGATATCCTCCCTCGGTATGGGACGCCCTCTCGGTAGGTAGGTTCCCACGGCCCCTCTCCTGCACCAGGTATCCGGGAACACAGGAACATCCACACTACTACACCCTCGGTATCCTTGATGGAGGTGTAGGCTACAGTGTTTTGCCTCAGGTAGGATACGAGTTTATTTATATATATACAGTACCTTTGTCATCTGAGAGATAGATGTGTGGCTTTGTTCTCTCTCTCTCTCTCTCTTTGGTGTCTCTTTTCATTGTTTCTTTAGTTGTTTCCTGTCCTTCCAAATTCTTTCTGTTCGTCATATTTCCCTCGCTCCTTCTCTTCTTCTTTCCCTCTCACATTTCCTCTCCTTGCCTCTGCTCCCTTCAGCTCCGGGTATATGACGGGGCAACTGGGAAATCCGCTAAATGTGTGTGTGTGTGTGTGTGTGTGTGTGTGTGTGTGTGTGTGTGTGTGTGTGTGTAACTTCGTAATGGTGCTATGTGTGGACGTCTCACTTATCCTGGATTAGGTTAGGTTAGGTTAGGTTTGGTTAGGCAGTCGTAACAATAACAATAACACAGTGCGTCGTTCAGTTGACTTATCAGTCTAATTCACTCTGGTTATAGAACAAAGATATTTTCATTATATTATCCCTCAAACCTACAACGAAAACAAGAGAAACAAACAAACATATGTGAAAGGAAGAGAAAATCCCCGTCACGGTGTGGTACGAGTGGCAGTGGTGACGTCACGTGTTACGCTGGGTATGTTGAGGTGACGTCACTGTGTTAGTAGCCATTCATTATCCTCTTGTTGGTTGGCCTTTAGGGTGGAGATGGTACTTGACCTTTGTATTATTAAATTAAATGAATGGCAGACAAATAATGGAAGAATACTGAGTCCATTGAGGGAGTCAGTCACTCGAGTCTGACGTCATGAGATACAGGTTGAAAGAAAGCTTGATTTTTCATTCGTCAAGATAAGCTTGAGGTTAAAAACGGCTCAAGAGGCGTCTAGACTTGGTCCTCTTTATTCGCCACTACGGGAAACACCCGGGACTCATATTATAATTATTATTATTATTATTATTATTATTATTATTATTATTATTATTATTATTATTATTATTATTATTATTATTATTATTATTGTTATTATTATTATTGTTATTGTTATTATTATTATTATTATTATTATTATTATCATTATTATCATTATTATCATTATTATTATTATTATCATCATCATTATCATTATCATTATTATTATTATTATCATTATTATCATTATTATTATTATTATTATTATTATTATTATTAGATACTGGTGAGAGATCTCTATATATCTCAGTCTAGGAGGAAGGGTGGGTATAAAACTAACTAACAGAATGCAACGATTGAGTGTGTGTGTGTGTGTGTGTGTGTCATGTGTGTGTGTGTGTGTGTGTGTGTGTGTGTGTGTGTGAGTGTGTGTGTGTGTGTGTGTGTGTGTGTGTGTGTGTGTGTGTCAAGTGAGTGTGTGTGTGTGTGTGTGTGTGTGTGTGTGTGTGTGTCAAGTGTGTGTGTGTGTGTGTGTGTGTGTGTGTGTGTGTGTGTGTGTGTCAAGTGAGTGTGTGTGTGTGTGAGTGTGAGTGTGTGTGTGTGTGTGTGTGTGTGTGTGTGTGTGTGTGTGTGTGTGTGTGTGTGTGTGTGTGTGTGTCGGTCTCTACTGCTCTGTACTGTTGACGTCATTACCCGGCGGGTCTATGATCACTTGACGTATGTTACGGTTCTGGACGTTTCGATCTGTGGGCAGTACGGTCAGATTACGATACATCCGGGTATTACGAGGTTACGATTGTCTTAAGTTAATATATACGAGGATGAGATGGTTTTGGGGGGTCAAATCCGGGGTTAACGATATCGACTTTGAGAATATGTTTCACTCTGGGAAGGTAAATTATATTGTAGGTATCGTAAAGTCATATAATAACTCACAATAATAATGTATCCAAGATTAAAGCGTCATAGTAATTAACCTCGGGAATGAAAAATACTTATTAGCGATATAATTCCTTCATATTATATTTGTGATAAACTTCAGGTTAAAACACCGAGTCAGATGATCCCAAAACCACACGAGTAAAACTGATTATCATTCACCACTTGGTTCAGATGTGAGGAAGGTGTTAAATAACCTAACCTAACCCTACCGGCCCTACCAAAACAATCCGAACCCGAATTAATTTGAAGACGATCACAAATGAATCAGAAAAGACATCTTGTTATTAGAGAATGGAACTTTTTTAATACTATAGAAGGGGTGAGAGGGGGGGGGTGGGGTACAGAACAGCAGGTTGACGTGTTTGGATCCTGTTCCTGGTATTATTAAGGGAGATCTAAATGGCTTAACCTCCGAGTCACATTGTAAGTCGAGATTTTTTTTTATTTATTATGAAGAAAGGACATGAGAGAGAGAGAGAGAGAGAGAGAGAGAGAGAGAGAGAGAGAGAGAGAGAGAGAACGTTTCAGAATATTTTATCTTGTCTTGACTTTTGATTTGGATAAGAATACAAGTTAAGTTAAGAGACTCCGAGACGTCGAAAAGTGTCGCGTCACAATATCCTGCCGGAGAAGGACGCTCACACCAATAGATGTCCTTCATGACGTTCTGATGATGTTGCTGAGGAGTTTTAGAATCCCGAGGATATTTTCTGGAATTACCGAAATTGTCTTATTCGTTGTTCTGTTAATCTTACCAAACACATTACTCTCAAAACCTTCATATATAGCGAGTGATTGAGCCTTTAGTGATGATAGTTCCCGGTTTTTAACATCTCAGGGGCGTCTCTCAATGACTCATTATACGAGTCTTAAATTTGCCTCGTCATGTTAACCACCAAGTGAATGATTGGTTGAGTCCTTGTGACCTGTGTTGGTTCCTTCCCACCGTCCGTATGTTAGGTCATTGTCTCCTTCCTTCCTTCTTTCCTTCCTTCTTTCCTTCCTCGTGTTTGTATTTACCAGAGTTTTCTTCCTGTTGGCTGTTCGTTTGTCAGATTTGCACACAGTCATCGTGTCCTTCTTCGTCCCAGAGTTTATTGGTTTATTTAGGATTATTGCAGCCAATCCCCGAGGAGAATTGTAATTCATCTATTACGTCATCTATTACGTCATCTATTACGTCATCTTTTACGTCATCTTTTACGTCATCTTTTACGTCATAAGTGTCAAAGAAGAAGAAAAAGTGGCGGAATACGTAATGACAACAGCCAGACAGACATTATAATTTCATATTTTGTAGTCAAGCAGAGAGCAGGAAAACAGTTATTGGATCAGAATGTGTCAGGGTATGTCAGGATGTGTCAGGATGTATCAGGATGTGTCAGGGTTTTCAGGGTGTGTGTCAAGTCATCAGGATGTGTCAGGGTATGTCAGGATGTGTCAGGGTTTATCAGGATGTGTCAGGGGTTTTCAGGGTGTGTGTGTCAAGTCATCAGGATGTGTCAGAGGTCATCAGGATGTGTCGGGAGTCATCAGGATGTGTCAGAAGTCATCAAGGGGTGTGTCAGAAGTCATCAGGATGTGCCAGAGTGTGCCAGGGTGTGTCAGGGTCTCCACGTATATATTGCATCTGTTTAAACAACATTCCGCTGCCGTCAATGAAGAAGGTCGAGCAACGTCTTGAATATAAAACTCTTGACTAATAAAACAAAACATGAGTAAACCAGATTTCTCATTAGTGTGTTGCTTCCATGTTAAAGATGCAGGTAACAGCATCTTGTGTTGAGATAAATTAATGCAAGATACTGCTGATATGTGTTGTGTTGTGAGGTTTTTTGCCCTGATAAATGCTTCTCTCTGTCTGGCCGCTATTTTGGTTATAGAAAGTAAAGTGATGAGATTTTTTTGGGGGTTCAGTAATGTTAAGAAAAATTATATGATAGTGGTATTAATAAGATTTTCCCTTTTTTTTATAGGTGAGAGGAATTACTTCGCGGTGTTGGCTGTCCTTGGATTGTGTTGAGGAGTGACCACCAGGAACACTATAAGATCCATTCATTCTTGGCTTGAGGAGACGAGCTGTTGATGACCATTTGACCCTTCAGTAACTACCTGACAGTGAGTGTTGATTATACCTGGGGTTGTTAGTGAGGTAACTAGTAGATATGACTCAGTGTTGTAACTTTTGTGTGTTGCGCTTTTAGCGGTTGTTAGATGTGGAAGTTCCGTGTTAGTGGATGAGTGAGGGGGGGTGGATGTTACCGAGCGGGGGAATACCCTCACCAACACTACATCCGGGTTAATATTGCGGGGTTTAATGGTGTTGTTTCTTGGTTTATTTGCTGTTAAAAACATTGTGTTTATTTTTCTGTTCTGGAAGTCTGAGGTGACTGGCGACATAAGTTTTTTTTCCCTTATGCATTTTCACCTTAACTCGACATTTTTTCTTCTTTTTCTTGTATTTTTTATTTATCTTTTTTTTTTTTAATTATTTACTTATTAATTTGTTGTATTTTTTTTGAAATAATAAAACCCCTCCCCTCCTCCCTCACCTCACCTCCCTCCCCTCCCCCCCTCACACCTCCCCCCCTCCCCCCCCTCCCTCCTCACCTCCTCCCTCACCTCGCCCCTCATGACACACAGATGACAGGGACTCACGCGGGCAGTATTATTCATATAGTCATGATGAGTTGGTCACCTCGTCATAGGAGGAGCGACGGTGTTACTAGGTCTGGCATGAGTCAGGTGTATATTAACAGGTATCCGGCAGTACCAGGTGAGTCATAGTCACAAGAGTCAGATGTGTGAAGCTTGCAGACAGCGTTGGAGGGGGGGGGGATTTCCGCCTCGTGTGTGTGTGTGTGTGTGTGTGTGTGTGTGTGTGTGTGTGTGTGTGTGTGTGTGTGTGTGTGTGTGTGTCTGTGTGTGTGTGTGTGTGTGTGTGTGTGTGTGTGTGTCCGTCCTTTTTGGTCCTACCTGTTTAACTATCTATACATGAAATGCTATCTGTTTACCTATCCGTCTATCTCCGGTCTGGCTGGCTGGCTAACTAGCTAGCTGGTGCCAGTGCCGGAAGTCAGTACTGTATGTGTGATTAAGTTGGCACTGGAAAACTGTTAAGGTCGTAGGATGCCATGACTCAGGATCACACACACACACACACACACACAAGCTCCGGAATCCGCCTTACTGTCACATAAATCGTATCGTGGTGATTGCTTATTCCGGGTGCCTTGAAATGTCTAGTATTACGACGTTTGATGCCATGCCAGCCGAGAGTTAAAGTATAAAGGAATGATCGATATTTGTATCCACACCTGTATCCGCACCTGTATCCGCACCTGTATCTGTACCTGTAAATGTAAGTGTACCCAGTGCCGGATTTAGCAATAAAAGTTAGCTTTATTAGCTTTAGTTTTATAAAGTGTCTGGCTAGTTAGCTTTCCGTTGTTGTATGTAGCTGGCAATCTTATGGGGGGGGGGGTGTAAAAGCTAGGATACGCAGTTCTTTACCTATACTTATATCTGTATAGAAATAGACATAGATAAATAAATGGATAAAAACGAGGTAGGAAGAATATAAATAGGATAAAAATTGAGATAAAAATGTAGAGGCTGATGAAGGAAAAGAAGAGAATGGAGAAGATTGAAAGAAAACGGGAGTTAAAGAAGAAAACGGTGGTATGGGCTACAGAGGAGATGTGTAGGGGGGTAACTATAGGAGAGACTATGCTGACGTGTTGGTGTGAGTGGGAGAAAGAGGAAGATGTTTTCAGAAGTGGAGGAAGGGAGGAGGAGAAGGAGATAACTGATGGAAAATAAGAGAGATAGAGAATATTTTTAAAAGACTTACTGAATGTGGAAAACGAGAGAGCCATGTTAACGAAGGAGAAGACAAAGGTGACCCACAATAAGCTGGATAATAGGAAAACTTGACGGCAGACAGACATAGTAATTGAGGTAGTGAAGGAGGTGAGGGGTGAGAGGTGAGGGGTGAGGGGTGAGGGTGAGGGGTGAGGGGTGAGTCTACGTAAGCTGACCCGAGGACACAATGGACTCTGGACACTACAGGTTGAAGGAACAAGTTAAGGAGAGGCGTGAAACTACACAGTGAGAGAGAGAGAGAGAGAGAGAGAGAGAGAGAGAGAGAGAGAGGAAAAATCGTCATACCTTTACACACCTGGACATCACAGGTAAACAGAAAATGGGGAAGCATTCTGTAATGGAAGCGAGGAGGAGGAGGGAGGAGGAAAGAGTGTAGCGGGTGATGACTATGTGAAACTCTGATGGGGGGAGTTAACTTAGGAAGGTTATAACATGGGGGAAATAAGAGGAGAAAAGAGGAGTAGAGGGAGGAAGTGGACACGTCATAGGGAGGAAGTGGACACGTCATAGGGAGGAAGTGGACACGTCATAGGGAGCGGGAAGTTACCTAGCTAGCCTCATCAAACCAGTTTAGAGGAAAAGAGAGTGAATCACGGCAGAGACCCGGCACACACCCTAGCTCTCAACCCACAGCAGCGTGAGTAAAGGAAGTAATTATTGTTTTAGTGGTGTTTGTCTTGTAATGCCTGTTAGTGTTATATACAGGTTATTATGAGACTTATAAAACAGTAGTGAATATTTATGGGTAAACAGTAAGAGTTGTGTCGTGTTGTTTGCTCAGATGGGAATAAATGTGTTTTTGTTTACCTCTCTCGTGTAGGAAATAGGTGTCCTGGGAATTATTGGTAGTTCCTGTTCAAAGAAAGATGATCGCTTCTTCCTCTCCTTCGCACCCAGAAGGGAGAGGTCGATATAAAACTCAAATTACGGAATGGCTGAGTGAACCAAGAATAATAATAATAATAAACGGCTGAGGGTCCACCAGAGGGCTTCCATGTTGACCGAATCGAAGACCTTGGTTAGGTCGATGAAAGCCATGTACAGGTAACGACGCTGTTCTCTGCACTTTTCCTGTATTTGACGGGCAGCAAAGATCATGCCAGTGGTGCCACGTGATGGTCTAAAGCCACACTGAGATTCTGGGAGGACGTTTTTCGCCTCAGGAAGAAGTCTGTTTTGGAGGACTCGGGCGATAATCTTGCCAGCTACGGACAGCAGCGAGATCCTGCGGTAGTTGCCACAGTCTGACCGGTCTCCCTTGTCCTTATAAATATTGACGATGGAGGCGTCTTGAAGAGCTTGGGGGATTTCTTCCTTTTCCCATATATTCTCCAGGAGAGAGTGGAGACGGCTGGTAGGCAGAGGTCCTCCACACACACACACACACACACACACACACACACACGGGATGGTAAATCTGGGTAAAATTTGCTATTAAGTATTTTTAATATTTCATCTCAAATCCTGTGTTTATCTTCTAGTTAGGTGTAGGTTAGGTTGGGTTAGGTTAGATTAGATTAGGATAGATTAGGTTAGGTTAGAATAGGTTAGGTAAGACGGCTATTCCCCGTAAAAGAAAAACAACGAAAAAATAATAATTATTTGACCTCACGTCTGTTATCATGTCTTCTGGGTGCTTAATATTCTTGCTGGAGTTGTGTTTACTCCCTCTGGGTCTTAATGTCTTCAGGGGAAACTCCCTCGTTGGTGTTGAACAACCACCACGACCACTATTATTATTATTATCATTATCATCATCATTATTATTAGGTAAACTAGAACATAATTAGGAAACATTATAGCAGACAGGTGCGTTGAGGTGAGTTTCCTGGGACGGTAACTACTCGCTTCCCTCCAGGAAAGTGGAATAGATGCCTGCTAAGTGTCCCGTCTGTCTGTCCGTCCGTCCGTCTGTCTGTCTGTCTGTCTGTCTGTCTGTCTGTCTGTCCGTCCGTCTGTCCGTCCGTCCGTCCGTCCGTCCGTCCGTCCGTCCGTCCGTCTGTCTGTCTGTCTGTCTGTCTGTCTGTCTGTCTGTCTGTCTGTCTGTCTGTCTGTCCGTCCGTCTGTCCGTCCGTCTGTCCGTCCGTCCGTCCGTCTAAATATCCGCTCGTTCATGCACAAGTGTATGTTGTATGTGTAGTGTGTGTATGTTGCTGTGTTAATGGCGCTTCTGTGTTACCGTCATTGCTTTTCTTACGCCATAACTGTGTTAGTGGCGGGACTGCGGTGGTAAAGTTGCACCTTAAAGAACAAACGATCTAACAACTTGGTAGCAGAGAACAGAAACAGGATTGGTGAGTGACTCAGCCCAGCAGTAGTACCAGCGTTGGCCCTTCCTTAATGACCGGAAAGGCGAGAGAGAGAGAGAGTGTGTGTGTGTGTGTGTGTGTGTGTGTGTGTGTGTGTGTGTGTAAGTATTTGAGACCCGCCCAAATTGACGCATACACGATCTACGTGAAGGTATGTCGGGATGACTTCACCTAGGAGTGGCAGGTGAGGTAGGTGGGTGAGGAGGTATCGTTACTACCATCATGGACAGTCACTAAATACGGGTAAGTGACGCTCCCCCTCCCCCCCCTCCCACTGTGTTAGGTTATCTTTTGTGGTGGTGATGGTAATAAGGGAAGGGGGGTGAGGTGTATCAGGGTATAAAAACTCAGAAAATATCAGGAAGTGTAACTAAATATTTTGTTTATGCTCGTCTGTTGATATGTTAATGAGTTGATTTACCTGTACACTGTGTTATTAATTAGTTGATTTACCTGTACGCTGTGTTATTGATTAGTTGAGTTGTACACTGTGTTATTAATTAGTTGATTGACCTGTATACTGTTATTAATTAGTTGATTTACCTGTATACCGTTGTAATTAATTGATTTACCTGTATACTGATATTAATTAGTTGATTTACCTGTATACTGTGTTGATATGATAACTATTGTCTGTAAGTTTAGGTAATTTTCGTTGTAGATTTTCAGGTAACTCTTATGGTGATAGTCTAACGCTTATACCTGTGATAACACCTGTATACCTGTAATAACACCTGTATACCTGTAATAACACCTGCATACCTGTAATAACACCTGTATCCACTAATGAGTTTTGGCTACTGGTGTTGTGGTCATCGTTTCGGCCTGATATTCTTAAATACGACGGTTCGTATCCAGGAGGTGAAGTTATAAAAATACGTCAACCCTTCGTGAACTAATTATTTTAAGGGTAAATTTTCTTAA